CCCCAAAACCCCAAAACCCCAAAACCCCAAAACCCCTTTGAGAATAAAACTTGAGTTTAGGATTTTTAATAATATAATTTAAGTCATAACGTGAGAAAATGAGTTTTAATGGTAAGAAAATGGTGATACAGAGAGATTTTAAGCTTTTTATAGCAAGTTGAATCAATATTTGAGCGATTTTATGCATAGATTTCAATTTTAAATGCTTCTACACCCTCCGTTTGCTTGTTTAAATGTTCTCCCAGAATATGCAAATGATGTTGACTGAGGGAAATAAGAGTTTACATCATGTGTAATCTACTAATCAAAATGATTGCCTTATCTTGGCAATGAGAATCTAAAAATCAAAGTAGTTTGTATTGGCAGTGCAGTTGAATCAAATTTCGGGTTTACTTCAATAATATATGTCGGTAAAGGCCTCACAATAGCCTGTCAAATTTTGGGGGTATCTTCAACAGAATATGTTGTACTCTAATTTTCCATACTAAACCATGTTAATGGGAGCTGGATTGATTTTTCTAACTAAGGTTTATCCAATAACTTTGAGCTTGACCGTGTTTTGAATAACTTGGCTTTACGATAAGAATTTTGAAACCATATAAATTACTTGCAAGGAAGATCTAGACTGGCATACTTAGTGCTCAGTTCATCTAAATAGGACATCTTAATTTGCCTAGCTGATATTTTAGTACGATTTCTCCAAAAATCCTATTGTTAATCTAATGGTAATTTAGAACTAGATTTTTGCATGCCCTCACCGAAGAACGCAACAGACGATGAATCCTCAAGAATGTGTTCGAAAGGGACTGAGGAGAGGTTTGCTGATGCACTTAGAGGAAGTAATCATTACATAATTCCGCTGGAGCCTGATGAAACAATGAATTCGTTTGATAACTTCCTCTCAGAGTCCTCTCCGGAGGAAGCAGCCGTTGAGGAGCCCGTTGTTAAGAAAATTCCGGATCTATCTCAAAGAAAAGATGTGCTGTTTAAGAGTATTTTCAGGTCTGTCAAGAAGTACTATACTAAGTTATTTAAGGAATCTTCTGATTTTTATAAACACAAATCTGAAAAGGCCAAAAAGGCAAACGTTAAGGCCTGTGTCAAAAATTTCATCCAGAAGGATCTCTTGTTTCTGAATGGCAGTGAAGGTTTCCACTCTGTTGAAATTGATGAACTATGAGAATTTATGAGCAGGATTATCGCTCCTAAATCTTGCACGAAGTCATACACCACTTACTCCTGTAAGAAGTATATAAACTTGTTATACAAGTGAATTTATAATTACAACGAGAGGAATGCGGCCAAATTATATACCAGCGAGGTCATGAAGCATATCTTCTTCTTTTGATTGAGAGAAGAAAATCTAGAGAAAATGGTCCAAGAAGACCCAAACTTAGCCCGAAACTCAAAGCTAATAAAAGAGAAGGCAAAAGAAGTCCTCGATGGGTTCAGATCCATATAAAATATTGAATAATTCAATTTAAATAGTACATTCTGGGGTTTTGGGGTTTTGGGGTTTTGGGGTTTTGGGGTTTTGGGG